GTAGTAATAATTGACATCATAAATGTCGACGTTTGAGATCGCGACTAGGGTATTTGCATAGTATGGGGATCGTTGGTACCAGGGTATATGCAAGATTGAAGTAAAAGAGACGGAGGCAAGGATTTTTATACAGGTTCGAGCCCATCATCTGATAGGTAATAGTCCTACATCCTATTGGCCGAAGCCGATGTTGCTCCTTTATTCATCTGAATCACACAAGTACAATAATTAGGATAACCCATCTAGCTGTCGTCGACTTGGCGGCATGGATAACCAGCTCGTAGTCAACGATAGGGTAGTCTTCCTCTTCGAATACGCAGTCGGTGGGATCAGAGATAGTGCTAGATCCCTCTTGCCAGCCTCCGTAGGAACCGGATGGGTATGTCTAGGCTAATCTCTGATGTTGATATCCAGCGGCATGTCTTGGCTTGTATTGGTCTATGTTGATCCTGTGGCTTGTCCCCTCTCCTCCTAGGGGGGCTTGTATTTATACCCATAGATGCCCCCTTGTCCAAGTAGAACTAAGGAGACCAATAAGGGTACAATCCGGGTAGTCCTTGTCATTTCCATATAGAACTCTACTCATCCTTCCTTATCCGGAACTCCTTCTATACACGAGGTTTGTTTCCGTATAATACATGGTATATGGTGGGCCCTGCCGAGTTTAGTCAACTACTATTAGGTATGTGGTATCCATAACCATGGCAGTAGCCCCCAACTTCAATGCAAAATAACGAGTCCATGTTCTCGACCGAAGACTTTTGAAAAACTGTTGTCGTGCTCACTTGACTGTTCTCGGTGAGATCAGAGATAGCGCTAGATTCCCCTTATCGGCCTTCGCAGGCACTATATTGGGTTTGTCTAGGTCCCGATGTCGACCGAGAAGGTATGGAGCATGCGACTAAGTCTCCCGTCTTGCTGTAATTGAGAATTTGAATTGAAGTCAAGTAATTCCATCTCGACGGGTACACCATCGCTTCATTCCATATTCCTTGTTGAGCTCCATCAACCGTTCTCGAGTAATCGAGAAGGAGCAAAGTCTGTGACAAAGCCTCCCAACTTGACTGTTGTGATGCCTGACTTTCCTTAAATCAATACTCATAACTGAATACTAAATAGAAATAGCCCCCAAGTGAACGCTCAAGGGTAACATGATATAATATTTATGGAAAATTGAAAATAATTTGAACTGTGTATGACAATAAAAGAGTACTCTCCCTAGAGTTGCCCTCAGCAAACGAAGTTTGGTACCCTTCCTAGCCCCCAGCTGTTTTTATGGAAAAACTATTTTCCACCAAGACAGCTTGAATCTTATAACAAACCATGCTGAAGCTGACAAGTCCTAGCCCCTAGCCGTGAAGTTGGAAAAGTCAATTTCCGACTACACGGCTTAGTTAATACGCATCCATTGAGCACTCTTACATGACCATGTCTTACATGGTCGTTCGGCTCTTAGAATCTGATAATACCTTATCTGCTCTGGGCGTCCTCAGCCAAAATTCCCATGGGTTTCTTGGAGGCTTGTCGGAACAGCGTAAAGGAATAGTAGGACCGACTTCAAGATGAAGGCGATATAAGAAAAGAGGATCACTAGACAAATATTGTACACATAAACACTTATAGAAGTTGACATATAGTGATGAGACGACTTCCACACTGGGTGAAGACCAAGTGTATAGTTATACTTAACAAATCGCAGAGGTAGTGGGAGATTCGCTACATTGCTGATCAAAGACCAATTATAGTCGTAACTCGACCACTTCAGTTTAAGGTGCGAGAGATCGCTACATCCTACTGGCAAATAACCAGAAGTGAGCACCTCTCGACCGTTTTGAAATAGAGGTGCGAGGACCGCTACGTTGCTGGTCGAAGACTAGTCGTAGTCGTACCTCGACCTTTAGAAGTCGTGGTACAAGGACCGCTACGTTGCTGGTCAAAGACTAGTCGTAGTCATACCTCAACCATTAGAAGTCGTGGTGCGAGGATCGCTATGTTGCTGGTTGAAGATCAGTCAGTCGTACCTCGACCACTTGAAGGGAATCCAGAGAAACAAATGGACAACATTCTCGTGACCTACGAGAATTGCCTCCTGATGACAACGAAGACAATGAGGAATTATCGTAGTCGGAGGTTCGGCTCCTAGACCTACTACCTCATCCTCGGGCCCTCTAAAAGTCTGGGGATCTCGAGTTTTGTCTTTGTGTGATGTCGTGATGTTGTTAACCTTGTCCATTGTCGCTCTGATTCTGTTAATCCTAGACGTTGTCGTCCTGGTGACTACGGCGATCCTATCGGTTTTGGTTGTCATTGTCACGATCACATTGATTGTTGTGTTCGATGTCGAGAGATTGCTGTAACCGACTGGTCGAGGACCAGGAGTAGGCACATCTCGATTACCTGAAGATGAATTTTTAGGTGGTGAGAGATCGCTACGATCTACTGGTCGAGGACCAGGTGTATGCGTATCTCGATCACCTATATGCAATTGATAGGCATACGAAAACAAACCGTATTCGCGAAAGCATCTCTTGTTATCCACGACTCCCCTTATCAATATTTGCCATACACACTTGGTCGATCCCAGTGTAAGACCGTAGAGACATGGAGTCTTTGACACGATAGATTGAGTCCAACAGTCCACAAGTGAATATAAATTGATAGGCGTCGAGATGTCGCTACAGCAGTCTGGTCGATAACCAGGAGTAGGCATCTCTCAATCACCTATAGGGGCGCTAGATTTGGTTATTACATGTGCATCTCATGTGGCCAGCATGACTCACATACCCAACTTATAGCATATCCGGATGTTTGTTCGCAATCATGTCGGGTGATCAAGCCAACAACGTTTGCAGAGGATTATCCGTTAACAACCTATTCCCAAATAGTCCAGCTGTAGCTGTCGCTATACATGAGATAGGTCGTCGGTTTTCGTTGGTAGGTTGGGTGCGACAACTCAGCTTTTTTTGAGAATGTTCTCGATAATGGGGTGTACTCAACCACATCCTACTCGAGTGCTCAATTGTTCCTGAAAAATATTTTCAAGAAGACAAGATATATAGCAGAAAATATCGAGCATGTACTAAAAAACTGCATTAATCTTCTAGTATTATTAGGATATAATGAGCAGATTAAGTATCAGGCATTATGTAAACCGTAAATGTCGTAGGATCTCCGGACCTTCCATTATAATTGAGAGATGAAATGTATAATTCAAGTCATCAAACAAGTATAATGAAATATCCGACGCCTCGAGAGAGGAATATTGGAGACATTGCCGGGCCTTTAGCCTGCCAGTCAACTTCAGCCTGAGATGTACCCGTCAAACCACTCGAAGGCGGTGACCAGATGTGTTACACATTCAGGAGACTTGACAAAAATGGCTAAAGATCTACAACATCTCAAATATTCTTAACTCATACTCATGTGAATCTAGTTCCCAGGATGTGCACTAGATTCACACTTTCATCTCAAGCATGATTATACATAGCAAACACAAATAAGATGAAAGCGATTATAAACTAAATCTACTTTAGATACATTGGCCGACTGGCCAAAAAAAATTATATAGAACAGCGGAAGCTTGTCTACCCAATCCACAAGCACACCGACTAGGGGTTTACCCCATTAAGTTCAAGTCCTAGAAGAAGCAGTCGATCACCCGCATCACTCAAAGGCTAAGTCTAAAACCTGCAAGCAAAAGGTTAATTCCACAGCAAGAGTCAGTACATTATTAGAAATAATGTTCTGGCAAGCACCAAGACAAGCCTAAGACCCTACTTGCAAGGCATATAATCAAGGAAGGCATAATATGGTTCTTTTTAGCATAAAGCAAGTTTTATTTGCATAAAACATTTCTAAATCAGGTTTACTTTCAAATAAATTTCAGCAAGCTAGTATTTGACATATTGGGCATCAAGGTAGGCATTAATCATGTATAAATATGCACCTCATTGCCTTCCATGGCAGCAAGGAGATCATTCTCAAATCTCATCACAATTTGAAGTTAAATTTCAGCATTTAGAAGAATTAACACAAGTCTATACTCAATACATATCCACACGCCGCTCATGACCGCGAGCACGGCTAATCGATTAGTTTTAACTCTGCAGAGTTTGTACACTTTACCCACATGATGCGAAATAATAATCATGCAAGAGCATGGCACGCGATACATAAGTACCCAATTTATTACCCGCAACAAAGCTTTTCCAAAATTCATGATTTAGCCTTACACCAGCACGATACGTGTTCCTCCATCCTAGTCATACTGGAAATATGACCTAGAACCGTTAAGTGGCGGGCCCACGCCTTGAACTTAACGCCGTGGTGGCGGACACAACGGGAACCCACCCACGTGGCACAATACCGTTGTATTGGACAGACTTAGTCACCTAAACTACCACGTCGGGGTAAATAGGAAGTTCCTCTGAGTTATCCGAACTCATACACACCGGCCTACCAGAATGTAAGGCTAAACCATAAATAATTTACTAAGCTTGGGCTATCCCATACTAGCACATGTGGTTGTACTGTATACGAAATGAACTGACATTGAGTGAAGTCCTTAGGTCGGTTTGGGCGCACTCTCCCCCTATCGGTACACAACTAATCACCATATGTGCACCACTTGAGGCCCAACCCTAAAATCCATGTTTTCCACCATTTTATTTATCAAATACTTCATTTATTCATATCTGTCCAGAACTTAATAAAATCATTTTTCATGTTAATATGAGCCCAAGTGATAAGTAAAACTATTCTAAGCATGGCTAAGCAATATAGTGAACTAGTGACAATGTAACTCATATTCCAAGTAGTACTAGGATATGATTCCTAAGGTTAGGAATGAGGGAGATGGATATATATGGGGTTAAGGTGATAATGCAAATAATAGGAGTTTGTCTAACAAGTTTAACAAGATTTTAATGTATTAGTGTACAATCGACATGCAAGATTTGCAAACATTTTCAATAACCTCCAAAACATAGGTTCAAAGTGATCAAAGAGAGGGAGGTGGGACTTGCCTTGAATCAGGAAAATGTCAGCACCTAAATCACTTCTTCACCGATTAAGCAATCATCTATACAAAGTACACGTTATGCAATTAAACACCGAAATATGCGAAAAATCCAAAATGTTCTAAAATGCATGATTTGTGCAGAGAGAATAGGTACTGGTATAAAATGAATTTAGGTGAAAGAATTTCTATTTTATCTCATTTTATTTGGGAGTTATGAATTTTAGAAGTTTCGTCGGTATAGTGTAGGATTTACTTAGGTACTATTGTGAAATGCTGTTGTAAGGTGATTCTTATTAAGTTTATGTTTGCTGGGGTGAAGATATTTGTTTTCTAAGACTAACACATTTGGTTTCATAATTTTTAGAGTTAATATGAATTATTTATGTATTTTACAAGTTTTAACGTGTTCTAGGCATATATTCCCTATGTGTACATGGCTTTGGAGATTTAGGTCCAGAACTTGCTCTAACTTGCTAGTGTTGTATAAAATGAGTATTTTAGTTAACTAATATAATCTTAGTTTATAAAATTTTAGTGTTCAGATTACTTTACTTCACATTTTATAAGCTAGGGGATGTTCTATGTTAGAAACTTAACATATCAATCTAGAGAGTATTATATGAGTTAAGGATACTAAGTTTTGGTGGAAGGGGATGGATCTATGCCTTCACTGGTTCAACAAGTTTTATTTGGATTTATTTGGAGCTACCATGCATATATATATACTTTTTCATATGTATTGTTTTAACCACTACTATGTGTTTAGTACCTATTCTACCAAATTAAGGTTCAGAGCTATGGTCTCTAAAGAGGGTGCTATAATTCACTCTACTAGGTTGAAGTATATTACTTGCTAGTTCTATAGAAAATTTGGTTCACTTCATTTTGACTATAGATGAATTTTCTACAAATGTTACAATTTAAGGTATGCTCCATGTTGCTTATTCCTTACTTAAATACTTAGGGGTTTTCGTTATACTGTAAGTATGTCTTTTTATTTTATAACATTGAAGTGCACAACCCTATGATTCTACTGAATTTGGGTTTACTCAAAAAGGATCTAAGATGAATTTTATATAAACTTCTAAAGTTCAGCTTATGTAAAACTAGTCATTTTAAAGGTAATAGTTTTAGAGGCATTCGATGTATAGTATGTATACTATTTCATTTTGCTTTATAGGAGAACATAAGTTGGTTGATCTGTAGAAACTGAGTTTGCTCCAAAATGAGTTCAAATGAATTTTGTATGCATTTTATAAGTTTGTGCATGCTTTATGTGTGATTTAACTTGGATAAATTTTAGAGGCTAAATTTGTACTGTGAGTGCAAGTTTTTATTCCATAACACTAAAGTTCACAATTTGGTGAGTTCACAGAAATTTGTATCATCTTAAAATGAGCTATATTTAATTTTATATGGATTTTACAAGTTTTAGGTACTTTTCTTTTATAATTTCAGATTTTTGTTTCCAAGGGGTCCACTGTCAGTGAAAGATCAATATACAAAATGATCCCTGAGGTTTCTAAGAATCAACCCGCAGACCTAGCCTCATATGTCAGTGAGTTGAAAAGTTGCACATTAAACCTTATAGTTGTTTAAATTCTCGAAACAAGGTCCCTGACTTCTTTTCTCACGCACAGAGGCAGAACAGCCATGGCTGAGCTCGATCTCGAGCTCACCGGCGACAAACGATGGCTCGTTTGGGGGTGCAACCAAAATACAAAATGAAGATCATGTTATTGCGATTCCATTCCTCTACTTTTCTCGGTCAGTGGACATCGGAGTAACGCCGGCGGCGAGTCCGAAAGGAGGATGTTTTCGGGTGGTGATGCATGTGCTTCTACAATCATGTATTGGTTAATTGGGTGCATGCATGTATGTTCTATAGGCTGAAGGGTGCTCACCGAGATGGTAGACATGGCTGGGGTAGCTAGGTTTATGACGGTGGCTCGTGTAACGGCTCGGCGGCGGCAAGAACCTCCGGGTGAACGGCGATGGCTCAATCAGCTCCAAGAACTATCATGCATGTGTGTCCATGAGGTTAGAGAGGCCCCAGGGATGCTACTGATGCATGGAATTGGGTTGGTACTCACCGGAGGGGGTGGATTCGGCAACGGCGACGGTGACCGGAGGTGGAGAAGACGGTGGACGATCTCCACACTCGTAGCACCATCCTTCGAGATTCTTGAGGGGAAATGGAGAGGAGGTCGAGGCGAAGACGCTGGCGTGACAGCTTGGCCCGACTTGGTCCAGATAAGCGGGAACGGCGATGATGTCACTGCGGCGGTGCACAGAGCGCGCTCCAGAGCTCCGGTGTGCACGGCAGCGTTTCCGTCGATTGGCTGCACCAGAGAGGATGAAATCAAAAGGAGAAATATTCGGCATGGTGAGGAGAGTATGGAACGCAAGAGAAGAGGAAACGACCGCGGCTCATCAACGATTGCGGCCATCGTCTTCTTCGCGGCCGGCGATGGAGAACCAGTGGAGAAGAGCAGCGAGGATGCTCTCCCTCGGATGGATCGGCACTGGAATGGTGGGTGAAGAGTGGCGACGCGTCTGGGAGAGGCAGAAATGGAGCTCGTCATTTTTAGGGTGTCGACACGTCGTGGCCACGCGTCGCGCGGCGTCCAGAGCCGGTCGGCGCTCGATCTCTCCCTCTCAGTGTTTCTCGGTCAGCTAGGGAAGTTGCACAGAGGAAGGGCAAGCCAGAGGGACTGACAAGGGGGCCCAGGTCGAAGTAAACTAGGTGGAAGAGAGATGTGTAGGCAGAAACATGGGTGAGCTTGGTTTTTGGACGAATTTCCGGAATTATTTTCTCCTCTAATTTTGTAGCTTCAATACTTAATGTGTTGATCAGATTAGCTAGTGTTGATTTTACTGGAGGTAGGTGTATGTACCTAGTTTCCATTTTCTTTGGTTGCACTCAAAAATTATGGATAGATTACTCACAGAAATTAGAGGAATATGGGTTCTTTGGAAACTAGTTCGAATTTTTAGGAGACCTAAACAGAGAAGATAAATTCTGGAAAAATTATTTTTATTCATGATAAATGACCTAGTATTTGAATAAATTATTTTACTTATACACTTTTATGCAGTTAAATGCACTTTTAGACAAAGTATGGTTTTAGCCGATTAAGAACTACAGTTAATCTAGTTTTTATTAGTTTGGCTGATTTATTTGAGGTACCAAATTTAGTTATTAAATTATACCAAAATTACAGTGAGTTGTATGTGTTGAGTAGAGCCTACATGAATTTTCCCATGATTTTATCTTGCATGAATTATTTTAGATAATTCGCAGGACTTATGTCTTATATGTGTTTCTCTTTCCTAAATGCATGTAAATGTTTATAAAAGTTATATTTGGACTCTCATTAACCTGAGGTGATGTTGATATGTTAGAATTACAGTTTACCTTACACATGTCATAAGCTCCTTTCCTATTTATGCATGAGTTTACTTTAGTATTAAATTAAGAGAATGCTTATAGAGATGATTAAGATAGAATATACCCTATATGATATAATTTATTTGTTCACTTTCATGTTCATGACATGTCTTCAGATGGATGTCAAAATTAGTTTTGTGAGGCTTGACATTAGCCATGTTGATATTTTTTTTAAGGTGTATGGTTTCTATGTATTATTTTCCATTAGTTAACACTAGGCCCTAATGGTTTAGTTGTTTATCTAGATCTTAGTTAATATTCATGAGACCTATTATGAAATGCAAATCGAAAATCCAAATGCATAAGAAGGACTCAAGTCAAAATATGATTTATGCAAGTATGCATGCTTTCACTTGGGTTGCATCCAAGTCCTAGGTTAAAGATGAAAAAGTTTTTAATTTGTTCTCAAATTTTATTCTTGCAAGAGTTGGATCAACTCCACCTAGGTTTAAAATAGAAATTCTTGGTTTACAAAATTGAAGAACTTCCCTTTCAACTAGTTTTGATGGAAATTCCTTAATCCTAGAATTCAGGTATGTTACAGTAAACCAGCATGATACAAAAGAAAATAGAGCGAGCCCCCAGTATTTAACCGTTGTCGGCCAAATACAGGGAACACTCACACAATAGATGTATAAAAAATATGCTCTAGGTAAACATAGTAGATTATTGATCTGATAATATTGTAGTGATCTGAATAATGGGTACGGTAAATTGTATATTAATAGATTAATATCAAAAATTAGTCTACTAAATACCTTAATACGTCCGGCCGGTTCTGGGAGGAGGTTGAGAGGGGAGCGCTCACTAGTACAAAAACCGTCATAGGTGCCGGTTGGGAATCGGCTATAAGTGCCGGTTTTCGAACCGGCACCTATTGGTCGGCACCAATACAAGAAACCGACACCGATGTAGAAAATAGAACCGGCACCTTTAGCTTTACTCGAGCCAAAAAAACAAAGGAGAGCCGGCTCAAATCGAGCCGAACTACTCCCCAGAAAAAATCGAATCCACCGTCATTCCTCTCTCTCGCCCAGATCTACTCCCCTTCTTCGCCGGCTCTCAGATGCGAGATCAACTTCAACAACAAACCGTATTCATCAAGAACTAGCGAACAGTACAAACCATTAACCACAAGTTTGGAACAAAAACTCAACAAGTTTAGAACTAGAACTCAACAAGAAATCAAAAAGACAAACTCAAGAACCTATGCCGCCGGCCGCCACCTCGCCAGCACCACCGGCGTCCCTCACCACGCTCGCCGTCATTGCCGCATGGAGAGGGCGTCGCCCAGGTGCGCCGCACCTACCTTCGTTAGGCAGCTGCCGGACGTGGAAGCCCGCCGCCTCCCCTCCCGCTGGATCTGGCGGATGGGAGGGTGCGGCCACCTCCGCCACCGCCGTCTCTCCAGGCAACCGCCGGTCATGGGAACACGCTGCCTACGACTGCTCGCCGCCTCCGCCAGGCAGCTGCGACCACGGGAGCCCGTCGGCCGCTGCCTACGAGTGCAGCCACCGCGAGAGAGAGAGGAGGGAGGCGGAGGGCGGAGGGGAGCCCGTCGCCGCCTACGAGTTCTCGCCCCCGCCGCCGGCTGCAGAGCCCACCGCCTCGCCTCCCGCCGGATCTAGCGGAGGGGAGGGCACAGCTGCCTCCACCACCGCCGCCTCTCCAGGCAGCCGCCGGTCGTGGGAGCCCGCCTCCTACGAGTGCTCGCTGGCTCCGCCGGGCGGCCACCGCGAGAGAGAGGAGGGAGGCAGAGAGACGCACGAGAGAGAGGGACAGAGACGCGAGAGAGAGAGGTGGATAAGGCACAGTCGTTGTGGCCACGAGTAGAGAACGACGCGGTGCGCTGCGCTCGTTGATGGGCTTGGCTCGTAGGCTCGGCTCAAAGTTATAGGTGTCGGTTTTTTAAAAAAGAACCGATACGTATAATATATTATAGGTGCCAGTTGTTTTAAAAAACCGACACCTATAGTATAAGTGTCGGCTTTTTTCACTAGAACCGGCACCTATAGTGTTTTATATAGGTGCCGGTTGTTTTAAAAACTGACACCTATAATATAAATGCCGGTTTTTTCGCTAGAACCGACAGATATAGTGTTTAAAGGCGTCGGTTTTTTATTTTTCCATCACAGGGTGGTGGGAAAAGCTCTATAGGTGCCGGTTCTAAGTGAACCGGCACCTATAGATCGTTCCCTTTGAGGGTTTTTATAGTAGTGGATCTGGAAGGGAGGGAGGGGAGCGTCGCCAGCTCTCCTCCCACTCGCCACGTGCCTCCGCGCTGCCGGTGGCCTCTGCCACCGCCTTCCTAGCATCCTGATCTGCGAGGGAGGGAGGGGAGGGGAGAGCCAGTGGCTAGTTGCACGCTCACCGTCGGCCGTGGCCACCGCCCTCCGCGCCGCTGGTTACCGCCGCCGCCTCCGCGCTCAGCACCGTTGGCTGTGGCCGCCGCCTCCGCCCTACGTGCCGTAGTGAGGGAGTGGATCTAGGAGGAAGGAGTGAAGGAGTGAAGGGAGGGGAAGAGAGTGCAGCTGGGAGGGAGGAGTGAAGGGAGGGGAAGGGAGTAGATAGAGATAAGGGGTTGGTGGCGGATAATACGAGGTCGGATGGTTTTTTTTTTTTTTTCCTTTCAGGCGGAGGATCTAAAGGTTCCATCTCAGACAGATATCTTAAGAGGTCCGCATTAAAAAATAAAGGTATTTTTGCAGGTAAATCTCTTTAGGTCTGCCTTCAAAACATAAAGGTATTTTGCTGTGAAAATTTTTCGCAGGTAGACAATAATCTTGCCCCATTGTTATTTTCGTAGGCGGGCCAATTAGATCCGAGAGGCCTATCCATCTAAAAAAAATATGCCATCATGTGAAAAGATGGTTTTTCTAGCCGTGACTCACGAATTGTGTATCTCTCGTGCGGCCATGGTTGGTTCGTCCCAAGCAATCGGACTAAACCTGTACCAATATACACAGGATGAATGACAAGGCGGGTGAAGGGTGTGTGCATCCATTTATTCTTCGGTGTTCATGATACAAATTAAAGAGAGAAGCGAAGGGTGTGTGCATCCATTTTGCTATTATGTTCACTACCAAATCCGGTGTGTATATCGAATCCAGCAAAATCAGTGTGCTAAGAAGTGGATCTCGTGTTCCACGAAATTACAAGCACAACTTGATCAACCTTTGAATCGATGCCAATCGGCACAAATGCAAGCATAAGTTTTTCAATCGATACCAACACAAGCTTATCTTTTGAACTGATACCTCTCAGCATAATACAAGCACGTTGTCCAAGACTACTCCAGGTCCACTACCCTCCCTCCCCATAAATAGCCAGAACCAGACTCGCCACCACTCTTGCGCCGCTCCTTCCTCGCCTTGTTCCCCGTGGCTCCGGCCTTCCACGAGGTATGCCCGTCTCCTCCTACTCCTACTGTCGTCACGTCGGTCGATAGTTCTATAAGTGTTGTAATTGCGCTTTTGATCATATTTTAAAGCCTAACTACCGTGACTATCTATTATCTATCTTCTATTATATACTAAAAGTCCATTAAACTTTCTACAAACGCTCTCATGCCGCCACATGGCGCTCTAAAAACGCTCTCAAGCTGCCACATGGCGTTCTAATAAAATAGAGAAAATCCTAGAAATTCTGAAAAAAAAATCTAGCCCTCAATTTTCATTTAAGTTGGTGGACCCATTAGTTTACACCATTAGATTAGATCCATTATAAATAGTAATCTATCCTATAGAGGCCAAAAGGCTCGAGGCCCGATGGCCCGGCCCATGGCACGGTATTTTGGCCCAGCCCAAGTACGGCACAGCCCAACGGAGGTCGTGCCTGGGACCCTCCACCGGCACGTTGGGCCAGCAGCCAGGCCCGATAAAAAAAATAGGGGAGTCAAAATAGACATATTATATGCCATGGACGAAAGAATAGGGATGTAAAATAGACTTATTTTAGCTATACTTATGTCAGCCCAAAGAGGAGGGATGGAAAATAGACTTATTCTAGCTATACATATGTAACAGCCCAAAGAGGAGGGATAAAAAATAGACTTATTTTGAAAAAGGCCCGATGGGCCACCTGTGCCTTCGGGCCGGCACGGCATGGCTCGACAGCTGA